AAGACGACCTGAAAACTTAGCAGGACTGATGGAATCCCCTTTGCCCAGTACTTCATGTTACTGTGGTGGTGACACAGCCAGTGACGCAGGTAGCGCTTAAGTTACTGAACCTCGATTTCTAACTACTTAGGAGAGCTCTTGACTCCTGGCACCCCCTGCAGTCCCAGTACTCGGGAGGCCGAGGAAAGAGTATCTTTAAGATAAATTATTTTCCAAGAGATTTCTCTCTAATTGTTTTTTCACTTGTATAGTATCAGTTGTCTGTATTTTGACTGTCACTATTTGATTTTATAATATTTTTGGTTTTTTAGTGAGATAGTTTTTCATTTTTTGTTAATTTCATAGTACTTTTTAGACTTCTTTTTGGAGATGCTTGCTGTGTGATTGACAACTTGGTGAACTTTTAAATCCATTTTGTGTTTGTCATTTTTGTGGCATTTCTGTTAATGGAATAATTTAGGATTCCCATAGGGGTATGATAAATCTAGGATCATGAAATTGCTCATTGTCATCCTAGGTTCTTGATTTTGGTTTTAGGTTTTTTTTTTTTTTTTTTTTTTCAATACTTGGGATTGAACCCAGGATGTTTGCACTGGGCTCTGTGCCAGTGCTAAAAATGTTTTATTCTGAGGCAGGGTCTCACTAAGTTGCCTGCATTGGGCCTACCTCAGCCTCCCAGAGGTCTAGGGTTATAAGCTGCACCACCACGCCCAGGCCTGAGATCCTGTGTTTGATACTTGTGTTTTCTGCTGTAGAGGCCCCGAGGAACAAACCATCACTCTGTGTCGGAATTGTGTATAGTAAGGGTGCTGCATTTAGACTTCATATTTGCACAGAGAGGAGCCCACTTGGGTCCGATGGGGTCAGTGGACTTGGTGTGTATCTCTAAAGGGCCAGGCAGTGTTTTCAGCTTTGTGGGCTGTTTGGTCTCTGTCAGAACTACCCAACTCTGTGTTGTATTGAGAAGACAGTAGTAGTATGTGATGAATGGGTATGGCTGTGGTCCAGGAAGCTCTGATTTGCAGGAACACGCAGCAGGCTGGGGTCACTCAGGGACTGTGTGTGCCATTGTTTCTTGGCCCTTGGTCCAGGTTGCAGAGGTGTGTGGGGAACATCTTCCTGGGGCACTGCTGTGCTGTTGGTATGCATTTGCTCTCAAACAGCACAACACCTGAGATGAAGGTGACAGGGAAATAGGCTTTCTCACCCTGTTT